CTAAAGAATACAAATAAATGTCATGACTATAAAAGAATAACATTTATGCAAAATAAATGCTTTTCGAAATTTCTTTTTTCAACATAAAGCTTAGAAAACCAATCCTTAAAACAAGAACAGTATATATTACCCAGCACCCCGACTGTTCACTGTATGTTCACCTGATGTTGGAATTGTTTAAATTACTCACAGAAGTCAGAGTATTCAGAGATTTTACTCAAGTAGGAGAAGCGATAGTTTACAAGAATATTACTCAAGTAAAAGTAAGAAGTGGGGCACAGTAAACCTAATCCTAGAAGTACATTTTTTTCAAATTGTTATTCAAGTAAATGTAGCTAATTTCTACCCACCTCTGTTCACATCACATTTTATCTTAAGGCATTTTACAGAAGAATTCAATCAGATCATACAGTCAGATTCATGAAATGTTTTCTATCATGTAATGTTTGGCTGATAACACTGATAATAAGGAATAAATTATATAGCATGAAACTAGTCCAACTAAGTAATGAATTCAACAAAACATGTTACACGTTATGTTGATGTTCTCCTGCCCAATGGGAAGCGTTACAGAAGCCTAAGGACTAGAACCACCAGGCACCGGAACAACTTCTTCCCCACAGCTGTCACGCACCTGAACGCCTCCTGACACCAAATATAACGAACCCCCCCCCCCCCCCCCCCATCCTAACCCCCAAAAAGAAACACACACACAATAACAACATACAATATGGACTGTCCTCACACACGCGTACACGGATGCAACACCACTTACACCACATGCTTCTCAACCATAGCTGTATATTATGTGCAAATCTTTTACCTGCTAATATCTGCCATTATTTACCATGTATTATAACCCCAATAATATATATAAATATAATTCATAACCCAACTCCCCCATATAATCTGTAGATAGTTTTTCATATTTTTTTTTATTTTGTAGCCTATTATAATAACTCTGTTTATATACACCATTTATAGTCGATGCATACATAGTCTCTGTGCACATGTAAATAAATATTTATATCTTGTTTAGCACATCTGGACAGATGCAAACTACATTTTGTTGCTTTGTACTTGTGACATTGTAATGACGGTAAAGTTGAATTCTATTCGATTCTACATATCACAGCACAGAATCATGTGAAAACAGATAAATCCAGTGGTGTAGCCTACATTATTGTAGTGGGTATACTGTGCTTAGAAATAAGCACGCCAGTAAGTGCAATGTAATTGACCTTTTTTTTTATTTTTTTTAAGCATATTTAATATTGCTTAATTTCTCTGTTGCTTACATTTGAATCAATGAACAACAAACTGTACTACAGTTGGCTTTGTATTGAAAAGACGTAGAATCTATAAAACATGCTTAAGTATCAAGTACTACATGTAAGTACAGAAGTACTATGCAGGTTAAAACTGTGTTTATAAAATGTTCCAGACATGTTTGTTTTGAGGCTCCTTATGTTTCACTTGTCTTCTTGTTTCTGTTGCAGAGTGGTGGTTTCTTAACCATGTTGTCACATACTTCCTAGGTTCAAGAAGATTAACAGGAGGCCCATTTATACTGATCATCATGAGATGACTTATATTTGACAACAACAGAGAAGATCTTTTATCTGTACAGATATTGTTCATGAAGCTGAACCCTCTTTCACACTCAGCTGTGCTACATGGAATGGTTTGCATGCAAGTGATCAGTGGTCTAAAGTTTTCAGGCTCCCTGCTCTATCCTTTCTTTGCCTTGCAGCTATATTTGCTGTGATCAGTGGACAGAGGCGTGCACAGACAATTTGGGGGGCAGGTGCTCAGGAGGGGGGGGGGGGCACTTTTTAGCGCATGTGGAACACTTAATTATAAAAAAAAATACACACGCATGTTGAATGAAATTTGACTTTTATTTGTAACATTCTCTAAACGTGAGTTTTCAATGGAAAAAAGTCACACCACCAACAGAACAGACTAAAGCGTACTACTTTAAAGTAGTAGATCAGAGACACTGATCTGGGAGCTGGCAGGGTGACAGACAGATCCCTGATGACACAGAACGCTATGATCACTCATCTGAAACAGTTTACTAACGCCTAAATGAACTGAAAATGCTGAAACCTGCCGACAAAGCATGTTTGCTTTTATTATCCTGGTGCCTGCAGTTTGGTTTACGTTCATGAAAACCGCTTCCAGCTGCCGCAGTGAACCGCGAGGAGCAGGAGCGAGAGGGGGGCAGGAATTTTTTAAGGGGTGGCAACATATGGCATTTTTTTTTTTTTTTACAATGAATTTAATCACAGTTATCACAGTTTGGTGTTTCATGTGAAACAGTTCATATTGGTAATACTGTACATCGTACAATGTGATCTCACTTAATAGGAGATAGAAGAATGATAACACTACTTCTAGAGGGGCATTATGACAGGAAAGGTATTAAGGTAAGACACAGATGCTGAGTCGCAGATGAGTGAGACTGACTGTCAGAGAGGCAGCTTTGCAGCATTTGCACAAGAAGAAACTATAGAAAGAAAAACTTACCCATCAGAGATCAATGGACTGAGCTGTACTAAAGTGAGCATAAATACACAGTAGAAATAAATGGGTCAAGGCACCCAAACAAGGTACCGGACATCCATGTATTGTTTACTCTGAACACAGATTTACCCCATTTGTTCCTCAGTAACTTGAAATACAGCAGTTAAGGCAACATGAAAGGGACATTTCATGCATGTAAATATGCTGTAGATAAAGCTGCTGTATCAACAAATCAACAAAAATGCAGGTACTGTATGTTACATCAAAATCTCCACAAATCTGAAAAAAGCAACATAAAAATGCATTTTGCTTCCAGTCTGAAAAAGTACAAAAAAATTTGTGAGTAGGTTCATACAGGTCATTTCTGGATAGTTTCATACTATGTATACAAAAAAAGAAACAACAACACTGCTTCATATTAAGCAGGATTTACAACAGTATCACATTTTTAACTTTACTTTTAACACTTTTGGTTTTATTAAAGGAAATATCAGATTTTCTCAGGTGCCAAAACAAAATGTAACAGCTCTGTAAAGGCTCACCAGAGCATAACATAAAGTTGACATGACTATAACAGCTGAATGCGGCGATTTCCATGTTGCTCACCAAAACGCTACACAAATGTATTTAGATCCAATGCCTTTGTGCGTTTTGATTTGAGTACAACCAAACCTGATAGTCTGTTTTCTGTCATAGTTGACCGCAAATATGTCTTTATGAGGCTGAGACGTCAGGCCTAACTAGCAACATAGTTAGAGAAATAACGTTCTGCAACCTGATTTTTATCATCTCAAAATCAGCCTTGCAGCTATGCTAGCAACTTTGTGCTTTCATTATGATTCAATTTCTAGATAGATAAGTAATCAGTGTTTACCTGTTTCATCCCGTGTCTCCTCTAAACAACAGAAAACAACAGAAAACGTTTGTCTTAACACATAGATTTGCAATTGCAAACTCTACCGAAATTATTTGTAGCCTATGTGGTCGTCCTCACGTTATCTGTCATTGACTTGGGCTACAGTGTAAAACTTTATCTAGCCTAACTAGTTTATCAGGTGACCAGTCGGCAAAAATGCATGTTTGGTGCTGCTGAGTGAGACATTTTAATGCACAACAAAATTATTTTGCTTGATCTGTATATTACCTGGCTAATGGAGCACGGGAGAAGCAGCCTGTCAACGACCGTTCCTGCTATCTGAAGACGCTTACTGAACTGCTATGATGCTGCGCATCTGGCATGCCCTGCGGGCGACCGCGCAAGTTCACGTGACAAAGGAAGAGATATAGGCTGGTCGGGTGTGCGCAAGGAGGTGGCTCATTTCGGGGCATTGTTTCAGTCGTTTTAAATGGCTCAGGTTTTCAAAAGATCATTTCAAACCGACCTCAGTAAAATCTTAATAATATTAATAATAAAAAAATGAGTTTCAAAAGGGCATTTTCTTTGAAAAAGGGCAAACTTCCTAGTGCTTTAGCACCACCTAGTGTCTATGTATGCACGCCCCTGCTTTGCATGTAAACTCGCTGCGCCTTCTGCGTCCGGTGTGAACGCAGCATTATTGGGCACTTTTAAATGGTTATACGGAAATTCACAAGCTTTTCTAGTGGATATACGGCAATGATAAATAGTAAATGGCATGTACTTAAATAGCGCCTTTATTCAAGTCAGGAAACTTGACCAAAGCGCTTTACACTACATTCATTCACCCATTCACGCACACACTTACACACTTACACACTGATGGTGGCAAGCTACATTGTAGCCACAGCTGCCCTGGGGCTCACTGACAGAAGCGTGGCTGCTGTACACTGGCGCCACTGGGCCCTGTGACCACCATCAGTAGACAATGCAGGTGAAGTGTCTTGCCCAAGGACACAACGACACTGAAAGTCAGGAGTCGGGGCTTGAACTATCAACCCCTCGATTTCAGGGCAAACTCCTACATCAAACACCACTGTCGCCCTACGGCGTATACCCGCCTATCATATAGACTACACCACTGGATAAATCTGTATATTTCAATCTGTATATTAAGCCAAATTTAAGTTTAGATCACAACTTGTATGTTTTTTTATTTGAAATAGTAAACTGTACATAAATAAATGTGCCACTTGTTGACCTAAAAATATATATTACTAGCAAAAAAGAAATAACAGAGATCTTGGGACATATGGATATTTCCAGTGACTTCCAAAAGGTTGTCTAACAGCACATTGCATGCATATTGTCATGTTTAAGGTTAATCTACTTTAAAGAATTTTAGGAAACTTTAAATTGATTTGAGCCACTTATCTGTAATTCTGAAAGCCAACTCTTGGCACAAGTCAAATTTGTTTTTCCATCACTGAGAGACTTTTGGCTCAGAAGTCTGAATGGAAACAGATAACAGTGGGAGGTGTCCTGCTATGCAAAGCTCAGACCTACTGTTCAATATAAACCACGGCTGCAGATGAAGTTCTCTGATCAACAAAAAAACTCAACAACCATGAGATCTCTGTTGTTTGTTCTGCTCATTGGAGCTGCTTGTAAGCTTGTTATTCTATCTACATCAAAGCAGCTATTGGAATGAGTTTTGGAATTCTTGCTTCATCCTTTATGTAATTTTGTGTGTCTTTGTTAGTTGCCTTGGAGGACGACAAGATCGTCGGAGGGTATGAGTGCACTCCCCACTCTCAGCCCCATCAGGTGTCTCTGAACTCAGGCTACCACTTCTGCGGTGGCTCCCTGGTCAACGAGAACTGGGTTGTGTCCGCTGCTCACTGCTACAAGTCGTAAGTCAATAGAGGCTGCTCGTGCCCTCATGACGAAGGGTCTGAATTGATCAAATTTGCCTTCTTTACTGTGTTGGTCACCATGTTCTGTCTTTAAACTCTTTCCAGCCGTGTTGAAGTGCGTCTGGGAGAGCACCACATCGTTTACAGCGAGGGAACTGAGCAGTTCATCCAGTCCTCCAAAGTCATTCGCCATCCCAACTATGACAGCTGGAACATTGATAACGACATCATGCTGATCAAGCTCAGCAGCCCTGCCACCCTTAACCAGTATGTGCAGCCTGTGGCTCTCCCCAGTAGCTGCGCTCCTGCTGGCACCATGTGCAAAGTCTCTGGCTGGGGCGACACCATGAGCTACGGTGAGTACGATCTAAGATACAGACACTCTAATTTCAAGAACGGTTTACCTCTTCTTTAGAGATTAATATGAACCTCTGTGTTACACCATTCAGTTGATGATGGTGACAAGCTGCAGTGCTTGGACATCCCCATCCTGTCTGACAGGGACTGTGATAACTCCTACCCTGGAATGATCACTGATGCCATGTTCTGTGCTGGATACCTGGAGGGAGGCAAGGACTCCTGCCAGGTATTGACCAACTCAAATCAACACAAGTCTCATACAGGAATCCCCTGCTTCTTTACCTTTAATGCTGAAAATATAGGACTAATATCTTTCCAGTTATTTGACAACTTATTGAAGTCTTGATCTTGTTGTCAGGGTGATTCTGGTGGCCCTGTTGTGTGCAACGGCGAGCTCCAGGGTGTTGTTTCCTGGGGCTATGGATGTGCTGAGAAAAACCATCCCGGTGTTTACACCAAGGTAAAACAAAATCAAATAGTTATGCTACATATAAATGTATGTAGCTCAAGTTATTTGTTTCTATGTAATGTAGGATTCTTGGACTAACATATGTCTCTCTGTCTTTATTTTCAGGTCTGCATCTTCAACACTTGGTTGCAGAACACCATGGCCAGCAATTAAACTGGATCCTATAGCCATCTAATACTGCTGTAGTCACAACTTCATTCTGAGCACTATGCAGTTTGACGCAAAAAATAAAGCATTAAACTCCATTTCTCTGGATTTCATGTCATGTTGTGCCTTTATTTTCTTACACAATCTTGTTTTAACAGTGTACTGTAATTTTGCACATAGTATAATTAAACACATTTTGTTAAATTGCTGAAATTTGGAAATTGGATCAGTGAGAAATATTTAATATTTTTACGTGCGTGCACGTTTCATACCTAAAGAATAATCCAATAGTTAAATGTGTCAGGAGAATTATAATCATTTCCCAAACTATCACTAATCCTTACAACTTTTCACAAAGCTGAAGTGTAAACAGGGTGGCAGGCATTTTACAGATGCACTTCAACCAGATCATACAGTCAGATTCAGGAAATGTTTTCTATCCGAGGGAAACCAGCTGCAATTACTTGCATTGAGTCATGGACTTTGCTGGACATGGTCCTCTTTTGGGTGAGGTGATTGTAAATTTTCGCTGGTATTGTATTGTGGAACATAATGGTAATCCCTCACACTGAGCATGCATGCATTGACAGTGGAGAGGAAAAACCTCCTTTTAAAAGGGAGAAGCTCCTGCAGAACCAGGCTCAGTGTGAGTGGCATTCTTCCGAGGTAGTAAGGACATCTCCGGACATCTCCTCCAAACTACAATTTTCTTTATAAGAGCAGACAGCAAAGGAAAGGTGGAGCAGTGACAACATTGTTTAATAATTAACTGAAGTGTAAAAGGGTGTTTTTGGGAAAATTTGACTCTTTTGAACATTTGGCTCTCCAGGTAAAGAGCCCGGTATGAACTAGTTTCTAAATGTTTACAGGCCTCCTAAGTCCACATCAAACTTTTTTAATATTTTAGTGATCTCCTGTCTGTGATATGCGTTGATTATGACTGTTTAATTATTGTGGGAGACTTTAACTCTCACGTTGACAACCCTGAAGACAGAAGTGCAAAAGAACTGTGTGACACAGAAACTTTGGTTTAACTCAACATGTTAAACAACCAACGCACAAACAGGGACATATTTTAGACTTGATCATCACTAAAGGTCTGAGGATTTCTAAAGTCAATGTTACTGATGTTACCCTATCTGACCTTTCTGTTTTTCCGCAGTCCCTAAAAACAGCAAATATGAAACCACTGCTGAAAAAGAACAGTTTAGACAAACTAATACTCCAGAACTACAGGCCCATCTCAAACCTCCCCTTTATCAGTAAGATTATTGAAAAAGCTGTGTTTCAACAATTAAACACTTTCTTAGATATGACCAGCCGCTTTGACGTTTTCCAGTCAGGTTTCCGTGCTCACCATAGTACAGAGACCGCCCTTATCAAGGTGTTTGATGACATCCGTATAAATACAGACTGCGGAAGAACCACAGTACTGGTACTATTGGACCTCAGTGCAGCATTCGATACTGACGATCACTCCATCCTGTTAGAGCGCCTGGAAAACTGGGTCGGCCTCTCTGGTACAGCTCTCAACTGGTTTAAATCCTACTTAAAGGACAGGGAGTTTTTTATATCAGTAGGTAACTTTACATCAGAGATGACAAAAATCACATGTGGGGTTCCCCAAGGGTCAATCCTGGGTCCCCTCCTATTCAATATCTACATGCTCCCCCCTCGCTCAGTTAATAAAAAACAACAACATCAGCTACCATAACTATGCAGACGACACACAGCTTTACATCACCATGTCACCAGGTGATTATGAACCAGTTCAAGCACTGAGGAAATGCTTAGAAGAAATCAATGCCTGGATGTGCCATAATTTTCTTCAACTCAATAAAAACAAAACTGAAGTAATATTTGGACCAATAGAGGAGAGATCTAAAGTTAGCACACAGCTTCAGTCGCTTCAGCTAGTAACCACTGATCAGGCCCGAAATCTAGGTGCAGTGCTGGATTCAGACTTGAACCTCTAAAATCATTTAAAGACAATTACAAGGTCGGCTTTCTATCACCTGAAGAACATTTCCAGGATTAAAGGACTAATGTCCCAGCATGAGCTGGAAAAACTAATCCATGCGTTTATTTCTAGTCGAATTCATTACTGCCATGGTGTTTTCACAGGTCTGCCTAAAAAGTGGATCAGACAGCTGCAGCTGATCCAGAACGCTGCTGCCTGTGTCCTCACTGAGACTAAGAAAGTAGAGCCAATTACCCAGTACTAAAGTCCTTACACTGGCTCCCTGTATCTCAGAGAATAGACTTTAAAATACTTCTGTTAGTCTATAAATCTCTGAATGGCTTAGCACCTAAATACATCACAGACTTGCTATCAGTGTATCAACCCTCCAGACCACTCAGGTCTTCTGGCTCCAGCCTGCTCTGCATACCTAGAACCAGAACTAAACATGGAGAAGCAGAATTAAGTTCCTATGCTCCACTTATCTGGAACAAACGTCCAGAAAACTGTAAAAGTGCAGAAAGCCTGAGTTCCTTTAAATCAAGATTAAAAACACATTTGTTTAGGATTGCCTTCGACTGTTCTAGTTAAACAGTTCAACTGAAACATCATTAGTTCAACTTTCTCATTTTCTTTACTCCAACTGGTTTTAATGTTCTTTTTTGTTTCTGCATTTTTTATTTTATTTATTAATTTATTTATTTCCCACTTGCTTTGATTCTGTTTTATTTTCCTATATTTTAATCATGTAAAGCACTTTGCATTGTCTTTGTACTGAATTGTGCTATACAAATAAATTTGCCTTGCCTTGCCCTACTTCTGTCACCATATCCCAACTCAAAAGTTTATTTCAAAGTTAGAGATTTCATGTGATCAGCTAAGTTTCCTAGATATTAAACTTTTTACCAGTTAGATTAACAATTTAGACTTTATTGCATTATTTTGGAACTATAGGTCAGAAAGGAAAAGTAATCAAATGATTTTAAATCTCTTTTAAATATTGGATGATATGTTTCTGTATATTGGATTGTTTTGTTATTAAAAAAATACATTGAGACATAACTGGCTATGGATCAATGAAATATAAATTAACTTAGCAGAACTGTAATATATTTTCTATGTTTCTTTTTTTCTCAGACTGATCATTTGAATTTAACAACTCATGCCTACAACATCGAAATTTTTTCCTTGTTTTACCAATTTAAGTAATTTCTAAATATTTTGTTGATTAAATCATGTCTTAAAGCTAATTGTGCCCACTTTTGTCTAAATTAATCTTTACTACTGTATGCACTTCAGAAAGCTGAATGCACTAAGACTCCTATTACCGGTAATCTCCATCTGAATGAAACTACAGCAGTAAGTCTTCTTCCTAGGAAATAAAGCAAAATACCATTTACTCCATGTCTGCTTACATACTTGCTCCCCATTTATTCCTCAGTGTTTAGTACAATGCCTTCAGACATTCCTCAGCAGTTATTTTCCCCAAGAATTAATACTTGGCGGATATATCTAAATGGCTTCCTTCTAATGTTGGGATCCATAAAAAGCATACTGCTAAATACTCCTATGTGCAAATACATGAATCAATTTATTATCTCCTTTTAGTAGCAAACTATTAACCTTCGTCTTTGTTACAGGCATTTGTGTTATTTTCTTAATGTTTTTCACAAGTACTCAATCATTGCCTTACCCTTTCTTACAAAACAGCTTTAAACATTCAATTATTCTTGCAAAGTTCCTAATGTTCCTGACTGTGGTATGTCATGTAGTCATGTCACAGCAATAGTATTCAGGTTATAAAATATAACATTATTCCTGTCCTTATCCTAAAAACATCTCTCTTCAATGACCCGATTGTTCCAGTAATAGCAAGTCAGGGTGGAAACGGCCACTTTAATAGCTAGTTATCATGCAGCTGTCAGATATGAGTTTTTTTCAGGACATTTTGCTGGAATTCTAGCAATATTTAACCAGACCTGATTGACACAGTTGGTAAATTCACAGGATGCCATTGCTCAAGGTAATATTGAGAATCACTGTAACATACCTGGCAGATATAATATTGAAGGATTTTAAACCTTTATAACGGTCAACTATAAATAATAATTTGATTAAATCTAATTCATTTTTGCTGCCTAACTTTTCTGATACATAGGAATCTATACCAAAAAATAACCCTAAAAAATACAAAATTGCAAATAGAATTATGCATATAAATCTATAGGGGGTGGGGGGGATTAGGAACTCTCCCGCTTTTTCATGCTCAGCATAAATAAATGGCTACTTAGAAATATAAGTTTTTCAAATTTCAGAGTCCAAGAGCATAAAAAAAACCCTTCACATAAAACATTTTATCGCAAGCAACCTTTGAAGTCCCTCGAAGTCACTGAAAAACAAACACAAGAACAGTGAGAGAAAGAACAAAAAATATTAAGAGCAAACAACAATACAATCTGTTCAATAAAAAAGTTCTTCAATTATTTTCATCTCTACACATCTACGACAGCTTTACACATACTTTTTTAAAGTTATTACTTCTGAATCTCCAAAAATGACATATTCTTTGTGAATAATGTTTTATTTTTATTAATGCCTCTTCATCTTAAGTTATGACAAGCCATTATAACAAAATTCAGGGAAACTACTAAAAGGTTAACAAAAGGTTTTGCTTAATTGAATCAGTAGAAAATAAACCTTGCTTCCAATAATATGTTTTCAGCTATGTAAGAGCAAGTGAGCATTGTTTAAGTCAGGAAGGTTAGGCACTACTTAGGGGATTTCTCATCATCATAAACTTAAAACTGCTTTCCCCTTTGCTTACTGTACATTTACAACAAACCAGCTGAATTCTGACTGCATTGTTATCCAATATCATAAGGAATATAACTGCTATCTTGTCCTTTATTTAAATCAACACACTTGTAATGAGATTTGAAGAGATGTGTCTTGGATATGTGATATTAACCAGCCCACTGCTATTGAAATAATCTCTGAGTTGATAGAAATAATAAATAAAAACCTTTCAAAACATTAAAAGTACTTCAGGTGATCTGTTATATCAAAAATATAACGAGTGAAAATAATTTGCCTGAAATGAATTTTAAAACTGGATTAAATTTATTTTTGCCACATGGCTGTAGTT